ACTTTGATGGTGGTGAACATTCCTGAGAATACCATGAATAGCCATGAAAACAAAAGAATGGATCATCAACCCAGAGTTCTCACTTGAGGCACAAATGACCAAGCTCAAATGACCATATTTTGGACCTATCTAGTTCTCTTGAGAAGTCTATAATGTTGGGAGAGGTAGAAGAAAAAAGAACAGCTAGTAGCAAGGCACATAGACTCAGTTACAGTTGTGATGGGTGCACCACTGGAAGATCAGAAGAACCAGGATTTGGGAGTAGGTCTATCTGTGTGGTTGCTAAGAGTCAACACCAACTTGATGGCATAAATATGAAAGAAGTTTGGATGAAATTAAATTGCAAATTAATGGAAATGTTTGAATTGAGTTTCCGTGCTCTGAATCTAAGTGAAAATGTTAGAAGTTTTCAGAAGTTTTGAGTTAGTGTTTTGTAACTCTCAAGTACAGGAAAGTTTTGGTTAGAAGAGTTGCAGTTACAGTATATAATTGGATGGAAGTAGAAGCTTTATTTTCCTCCTCTTTCATAGGAAAGTAAGTTGTTCATTGTAACATACTCATCACAACAAAGCTCTAGTGTAATAACAGTAAAATCTCAATTTAATGTACCATTTCAGAAGAGTTGTCTGTTAAATCTGAATGTTCATTAAATCAGAATTTCTGGTAATAGTTGTTTATTATTTATTAAATTGTATATTTGGCAGATAGTATCTGTAAAACAATAAAGGGAATATATAAAATCAATACAGTACAATAAAATAGTCCCAGATGACAGCTTTCCCTAGGAGCTGAATTTTCACTAGCTTCTGGAGGGATGGTCAGGTTACATGCTAACTTGACCTCAAGGGGAAGGCTATTCCATAAAATAGTCTGCAATGGAAAAAAATGGTCTACAGTTCTTTCCCATTGACCTTAGGAATGTGGGATCATTAACAAAATTTTACCAGGGAGCACGTAGTGCACCTGCTGATTCCCTAGGAAGAAGGGTGTCCTGAAAGTACGTAGGATCCAAGTCATATAGGGCTATAGAAAACCAACACTTTGAATTGCCCACAGAAAGCTACTGATAGACAATGCAGGGCTCATAGCATAGGCATCGTGTGGCATAACTAAAGCAGTTCTCATCTCCCAAAGAGCAGGCCACTGCATTTTGCACCAACTGCAGTTTTCAAATGGTAGTCAACCCTAACCCATGTAGAGCATATGTATTAGTTCAGCTACATGGCAATATGGGTGTGAATCACTGCTGACAAAGTCTCTTTTTTGCAGATGAAGGCCATAAATGGCATATCTGCAGACAGTAGACAAAGGCCCTCCTACCCATGGCCTCCACCTGCCCTCCAGCATTAGCCATAAGTCCAGCAATACCCACAATCATGGGCTTTCTGTTTCAGTAGCTCCATTTGCTTATGTTCAGCTACAGCCTGTTTTGACCCAAGAACCTTTTAAATGCAAATCAAGTTTCTACATCTTTGGCTCAACCCAGGATGGAGATGTAAATACCACCCCAGCTTCCTGTTTCATGTAGATATTAAAGACCCAACAAGAGGTGAAGGGACAGAAATAAGCTTCCCACTGGACCAACGTCTTGCCCTGCCTCAACTAGACCTATCAACTTAGGTAAGGACAGAACCACTGACAGTGCCTCTGATCCTCACAGATGGTCTAGAAGGATACCATGGCATAAACCTTCCACATCCAGTCATAACAGTGGTCATCTACAAGAGCAATCAATGCTGTTTTCATCCCATGTGGGTTGAAAAGCATCTAGATAATAGATGTAGTAAATTGGCTGAATAACATGACATTGATTACTTAATGACACAGTTCAGACTACTTTAGAAATAACAGATGGTGACATTCAAAGTAAAATTGTATCTGGTGCTTCTAAAGTCCACTGAATGGATGGCCCAGAGAATTGAGGTTTCACTGTAAATTCAGCTTATATTAGGGGAACAGGAGATCTTTGGTACAGATAGGCACAAGGGATGGAAAAGATGTGTCAGTCAAATAAAGAAGTTGAATGGTACACATTATTTCTTCATTACATAGTTTTTTTCTCTTTTATAAGGAACCAGAAGATGAATTAGTCCCATCTCTTATGTCTATAATAGCACCTCCAGTTGCCAGTAAGGACCCGATTGAGATCAAAGATGAAAAGGTAAACTTACATGTACCATACTAGAAAGGAATTAGCAGTTGGGAAGTTCTAATCCTACTACGTATCTGTAATTTCCTTGTTTCAAATTACTATTTGATAGTGTCAAAATTAAAGCAATGCAGAGCCAAGTAATAGTATAAGCTGATTGCAAGCCAGTGAACTGTCTTTTAAGTCATCCCTCTATTTAGGACGCTAATACATCAGAAATTTTTTACTTTACTTTCTAAGATACTAATTAACTGTCTTCAAAGAGGAGTGGGAAATTAAGGTAAACAATATTTTTAGATGACAGGCTAACTTCATTGTGCTGAATGTAAGCTCTTGGATGTAACTGCAATGATTGACTTGTCCTAACATTTTCTCTTACATTTTGAGTACTATCTTTCTCATTAATGCTCTTAATCAGCTCTAGGTATGAAACTCATTAAGAAAGTATATATTAATAAGTGTGTTCTTACCCTAATATATTTAATTTTATTTTCCAGTTTGTTCCTAAGAAATAAACTGTATTTTAATATGGTTGTTCATATCAAATAAAGTCAACAGTTTAATGAATTTCAGCATTGATCCAGCATAGCAGAAAGCTTCAATAATTGTAGTTCAGATTATTTTGACTAAAATGGCTTTATTATTTTAAAGCTAATCTAATAAAATGTTCAAATTATGTATTTTTAAGGCTAAAACCAGGAATTAACCTTTGTATCCCTAACATGGTAACTGGTTATTTTGCAAGCTGTTTGCTCATTATCAACTGTTCTACTGGTTTAGACTACTGCACTGTTGATTTAATTCTGATACTGATTCTATGGTATATACCAATCCCAGTCCATCCACTTCCTTATATAACCATAGAACTAATTGTCTCTGTTGAATGAGGCTTGTATACTTATTCTAACAACAAATTAACACTTAAATATTTCCTGTTCATTGTAAGCTTACAGAGTGGTGTTAGCTGCCAGTGTATATTAATGATCAACATGAATTATAACCCTGGATTTATAAACCATTTTTATGAAAACGGAAAGAAGCATCAGAGCTATATACAATTCATGTCACTTCCTCACAAGATAGCTCTGTGCAAAGAATTTGGGTTGACATAAATTTGAATTTAGACCCAAATAAGGCCAATGGCCATGTAAGATAATAGTAGCAGAATAGCATCACTAAAACAATAAATATTTAGGAGCATTACAACTTGAAAAACGATGGACTACTTTTCTGCTAATAAGATAACATTGTTCCCCCTAACTACTTATGTCTTGTTCTAGGCATTACTGGACCTGGATGTAGATCTGGATAATTTGGATCTGGAAGATCTTGATGCTACCGATATTTTTCTGGATGAAGAAATGTCTGACTGAACTTTTTAAAAGATGCACATTCTTATATCTAGTTTTCCCTATGCTTGACAGTGTAGTCTTCTTCTTGAAAAGTGGCTCTTTTTTATATTTAAGATGGAAAAATAAATAGGGAAAGTCTTTTACAGTACAGATATAGCATTCTCCATTGTAATGTAGGCTCCCTTAGATACAATAGCAAGCTCATATCACATGATCAAAAAATCCTCCAATAAATGTCTTTCAGATCCCCTCAGTCTTTGGTGTATGAAGGATTGATTTAAAAGAAAGATGAATAAGTGTGCTGAAGAAATTGTGGAATAATTGTTTTTATCATACATAGTATAAAAATGTTCTTTTAGAGCTTATGTACATTTCTTCCCCATCTCCCATACATTTGACATTAAATGAATTTATTGATCTAATCACTTTGTGAAGCTGCAGACTTAAGCGAAGGTGCTTGACAAGCCTGTAGGGCAAGTTCAATGTAGCTGGCTCTTGATGATTCTGCCTTTGCAAATGCCTGTAAAAAAAAATTAAAATGACAATCAGGTATCCAGTGTGATTTTGAATATAACACCCTGTACTCTTGTACTAAAGAAACTGGTGAATTAATGTGGCTAATATCTTCTAATAAGGAATTATTTGACAATTAATAGGACTCAAAACAGTTACACAAAATTCAAAAATAAATTTTCTTATGAATAAACTGCTTTTATTTCCACAGCCACTAACTAGGTAGATTCAGCAACAGATACTAATGTATGCTTTTTCTATAGTCACCTTTTTTACATTCACAAAAAGTATATTATACCTTAATTAAATCTATCCCTTGGATATCTTTCTCTTGTGCTTCTCTTGCTGATTCACAGTCAGGATGGAGCATATGGTAGAGGCTAATTAAGCTTACAGCATCATCAAGCCTGAAATACAGAAGTTCATTTGTAACAATTCCTAAACAGTTTCACATACGGAATTTGAACATTCTGATAATTAAGAATGGGGGGTGGGGGACTCAGTGTTATTAGCTTATATTGGAAGAAATACTGATGAACGTAAATAAGCCACTATGTAGCAAGTACACTCGTGTTCAAAAACAGGCTTCTCTGTAACTAAATAGTTAATTTAAAAACCAATTTACCATTTAAGTTTTAGCATGCCAAATTTTTTTTCCCCAAAGAATTAAGAAGACACAATATAAATCAGGCAATATAAATGCTTTATGAAGCATTTGTAGACACTTCCTGAATCTACCAGGTATTCACTGAATTACCTGGGCATAAACTACCTACCTACTTTGTGTCAAAATTCTTCAGCATTGTCCATTTTAATTAGACAATAGACAAGTTATCCTATATCATAGAGCACAAAATTATAGAAAGAAATATTTAGACTGAGTCAACCTTTTTCTCTACCCACCCACGACTCTACTGCAGGAATGCAAATTAAAGCATCAGTGACAATGTAAGGAAGCCAACCACCTTTCTGAGTAATTGATTCCACTGTCAAGCTGTTCTTACCATTTGGGGGGGAAAAAACACTTAACATATATTTTCCATGCTTTTTAATTTACTGTACCCCACCTGCCTTATACTGGTCTATGACCATAATAAAGATTTGATTTGACTCTTAACATCAAATAAAATCTGCCTTCCTCTAACTTAATCCAATATTTATGTCCTGCTCTCTGAGAATAGATCTTGACCTTCTATGTCAAATCTTTTCAAGTATTTGAAGATTTACAGTGGGGCAAAAAAGTATTTAGTCAGCCACCAATTGTGCAAGTTCTCCCACTTAAAAAGATGAGAGAGGCCTGTAATTTT